TTCGGCCGCGGACAACGGCGGACAACGGCGGACAACCGCGGACAACGGCGAACAAGCCGTTTTTGTACATCTCAGAACATGCAAAGTCTGCAGCCGCCGGCGCGCAGCCGACATCACCAGCAGCGCAGTTTCCAGCCAGTCGTGCAGTTCTTCCAGACCGGCACGACGCACCAGCGGGATCAAAGACATCAGGGCATCCGCAGCTGTGAACATCTCTTCCACGTGCAAGGCGGGGTTCATTGCCAAGGTCTGCCAACCACCCCGCTGGCTACGGACTTCTTCCCCGTCCTGTGGTACACCCGGCAGCTATTTGCTGCCGCAACTGCTGTAGAGACTCGTGGTCCCACAATTTCTCATCCAGCATTGACAAGATCTTGCCTGACTGACCTGTGGTCAGATCAGTGACCGAACCCAACTGCTTCAAGAGCGCTCGCAGCTGCTTCTGCTGTGCGTCCTTGTAGCTCGGAAGGCTGCGCAAGCCTTCTAAAAATTTCTGGCCGGCAACCATTGCCTTCTCAAAAGCACCCGCCATACGCGGAAAAATAAATGGAGGTGCCTCCGACCCAACGTAACGCGCCTGTGAGCCAAAACTGCCCAGCACGTGAAAACAAAAATGTTTGCAAAATGACTCTGTTTTAGACATATGTTTAAAACCGTCTTGAAAACATACAAAAAGCTAAGTAGGTTAAGTACTATCGTAAGTAGAAACAACGTTTTTCAACTTCAACAGCATCCTACTTATAAGTAGGGCGGTAAGTAGCTATCTCCATCATAAGTAACGAAAAAAGAAATTGAACTTATGAACCACTTAACCTACTTACCAGCCCACTTAACCTCCCTTAAGTACACTTACACTCTTACTTATAAGTCCACAAGTGCCCGGCGACACCGAAGTTGGAGGCCATCGCTAAGACGTGCAGACTGTGCCGACGGGATCTTCCCGCGGAGTGCACTGGTCGCCTGCGGGGGAAAAACTTTCAGTGTCAGCACTGCACCACCATGTCTGTTATGCTCTACCGGAACTTGGGGTCGTCCCAACTCGAAGGTTGGGACGCAGAGGCCACAGCTCGTTTCTTTACGCGAACGGCTGCGATGGAGGACTCCCGCTACAAGTGGGAAACAGTGCGGAGCACACTCATCGAGCAAGAAACCACCCGACTCATGCAGGAGGAGTCCCGACAAGTCGTGGCTGAGTCCTTACCCAAATCCGTTTGGAAGGCACGCGGGTATGATGAGGAGATGATTGAGCGCTTTCCTGCCGAGAAGGACAGCAAGTTCGGTCAGCTGTATTCGATTCCGGTCAAGGCAGATGTGTGGAAAGACGTGAAAAGCAAGGTCACTGAGCAAATTCTACACAAAGAGCGAGCAGTTTTGGAGAAATCCAAGCGCAAACAACCGGATACAGACTCGACAGAGAATAACAAGGAGCCTGCTTGGGATGTGGCAAAGGTCGCCAAAACCGTCGCTACCCCCGCGGCGAAAGGCAAGGCTAAAGCCGGCAGCAAAGCTGGCGAAGCCAAGCAGCAAGAGAAGCAAGCGAAGCAGGTTCTGAAAGACAATGAAAAGAAAAATGCGCTTGCGGCTAAAGCAGTTGCAGCACTGACCGCTCTTGACAAGTCTCTGCTTGGCTTGATTCAGCCGGCGACCAAGAACGGTCTAGATCCGTCTAAGATCAGCAGCCTTCAAGAAGCCCGTGCACAGACGGAGTCTTGGATGAAGGCTGCAATTGAGTGCTTGGCCTGGACGGAATACCCTCCCGTCTTGGAAAAAGAACCACTTCCTGATCTTCCATTTGATGCAGAGGCCTTGAACAGCCATTTGAAGGCCAGCAAGCAAGTGATGGCTGAGCTGCGGAAGGAAATCAGGGCTGGAAAGGGCACAGCTGCGTAGGACGTGGACTGAGTGATGAGTGAGAGGCTGGGGTTTGGGGTATATAGGCGCGTGACCTACGTGCGCCTATATAGGCAGAATATGAGAAAGCAGTGTGAATACACACTTATAGACTGGACTCAAAGCTCTTGTGGAAAAGAAATCATGCTGTTCTTTCTTGGACTAATTCTTTATTGTTCTATTGTGTTTGGGTATTTTCCTTTCTATTCTTCCGCAGCCACTTGTGTGTCTGGTCTGCCACCTGACGAGTCCCCGTGGCCATGAAGAAACCAACCATGAAAAAAATGGACTCACTGGGGTCCGTTTAGGAGGCGGTCGCGTGCACATCTGGGGACCTCGTTTCCGAGACTTAGGCACCTATGGTGACCTCAAGAGAATGTTTGGTCCTCCGCCTGTACTGGAAGTTGTTGAGTCACCGGACATACCTGCCGCGCAATGTGCGGTGGAGTCGGTACCCACGCAGCTGGATAGCGACGTAGCCGAGGAGGCGGTGGAGTGGTTGACTCCGCTCCAGAAAGCCGTCGAAGTGGAATTACGTTCCGGCTGTCACGTCGGACCGACAAAAGTGCACCTTGAGTCGGCCCTGTTCAGTATTCAAGAAATGCTGGAGCCAGCCACCCGCTGGCTGCAATCAGAGCGGAGCAGAGCGACTGAGGGGTTTGCCTTTGCCTTCGACTGCGAGGATATCGCGCGTGTACAGTCAGAAGTAGTCGACTTGCTTGCAAGAAGCAAGACTCTACCACAAGGTCCGCCTTACATATCGTAGATATATGTTTGGATATGTAAGGTTGTATGTGTGGATATGTAAGGTTATATGTGATGGTAAATTGGTTAACTGTCCATAAGTATTCGGCCAGACTTACGCTAGATACAGTGTATATACAAAATTTATAAGTCAGTTATAAGTCGGAATAGTACGGAAGCGAAAACCTAGTTATTCTAC